CACCTAAGCGACGACATCTACTACTAACTACATCAAATATCCTGTTTCTACGCTCACTTGGATATCATGTCAACAACAACAAGAATCATGTACAAAAAGAGAAAAACTGAGGAGGCAGCAGCAGCAGCATCACATACTTCTCCGATGTTTGATCTATATCGATCTCCAGCATTCGATGAATCTATTCGCAAGGCTGAGTATAGATCTTATACGCCGTTCATCAAGTCATTTAATTGTAATGATGTTGTGGAATTTAGCATCAATCAAGTAGATTCGTTCTTTGCAATGAACGCTTCCCTTCTATCTATCAAAGGGAAAGTTGAAATAACTGGAGGAGGAGGAGCAGGAGATGTATCTTTAGCTCCAAACTTTGGTGCCTTCCTATTTGACTCTTGCACTTACAGTGAATCCGCTAGAGAAGTTGAAACAGTACGTGATCCTGGTATTGTAAGTACTGTCCGAGCTTACGTATGTTACAGTGAGGAAGACTCAAATCATATGGCTATAGCTGGATGGAACTATCCTTCAACACCTATAATGGCGTCAACACATAACAAGTCTTTTAGCTTGCTAATGCCGCTTAAACATATTTTCAACATTTTCAATGATTATCCTATGATTACGTGTGGCAGACAAACTCTCAGATTTGTGAGAGCTAGAAACGATAACGATTGTATCATTATCAAGGAAAAAACTGGAACGACGACGACAGCGAAAATAACTATTGAAAGCATGGAACTGAAAATCAAACATATTTACCCGAGTGATGATGTGAAAGAACAACTTTTGAAAGCTATTCAAACTGATAAGCCGATACTTATACCGTTTAGAAAATGGGATCTGAATGAACTGCCTGCAATTACCGCAGATGCGAGAAGAGAAATATGGTCAGTTAAAACTAGCACCGCAATCGAAAGACCACGTTTCATTATAGTATGTTTCCAAACCGGTAAACGTGACGTCGCAACCTCAGACCCTACCCTGTTTGATCACGTGAATGCTGCTAGTATTCGAGTATCTTTAAATGGTGAATACTATCCCAACGAACGTATGCAATTGGACTTTGCAAACAATCACTTTACTGAAGCTCATTTCAACTATAGCGACTTTCAAACCAGCTATACAACTTCTTCTTCTCCTCTGAAGAGATGTCTTTTAGATTATACCGCTTTTAAAAATCGCGCTTTGTTTGTTATTGACTGTTCCAAACAAGAGGAAACCATGAAATCATCAACTGTTGATGTTAGATTGGATATCGAAGCCGATACTGGCTTTCCAACCAACACCAAGGCCTACTGCATCATTATACATGACTGCTTAATCGAGTACTTCCCCCTCACCGAAGTTATTAAAACCATCTCGTAAGCAACGAAGGACTCTCAGTTCCGCATCAGACATCATGAGGATCGCGTTTGTTGACATTCAAGGCTTTACAGTTGACGGATTATTCGTACCTAAAGAACTATGTATCGAAATTGGTTTCAAGAAAAGTCATTACATCTTTACACCTCCGCAACCTTTTTCTACATTAAATACTAAAGACAAGAAAACTGTCGCTTACTTGGAGAAGAATTTCCATGGGCTTAAATATTCTTCCGGCGACGTTAAATATTCCAAGTTAAATGAAATAATTAAAAATAAGGTGATATATGCGGCTGACTATGTCTACGTTCGTGGAGAACAGAAAGCAAACTTTTTACTCAAGAAATGTCACATTTTTGGTGTTTTTCCCAACATTATTGATGTTTGCAAGTATGATGGTACACCGTGTGCTACTGGAAACTTTGTTGCTGATTCCAATCCATGCCACACCAGCGGACAATTTTCCTGTACCCAGAGAAATGTTGAACGTCTACGCCACTGGTTTTCAAATATCATATTACCTATGTAGTTTTTTCTATTTTCAATAAAATATTAAACGTATTATTGTAGTTTTATTGAAAATACCTCTGGTTTGCGAAATAATTGTCAGAATGTCTATACTATTTTCATTTTGAACGGTATCATCCTGTATAATAATAACAGTACATGGTATACAGGTTATGAGACATTCTGACCGACCGACCGACCGACCAGAGGAGCCCACCACGCTATTTAGGTCACGCCTTGCTATATACGATTTAACGATATACCGTCGGTCCATCGATCCGCTATTTTTCGATGCACCCCTGTATACACGTTGCCCCCCGTAATCCACGCCAATACCAGACAGGTGCGACATCGGCGCCATCTATGCGCGAGATGCCCAACCCATCAATGGCAGCTGTCCAATGACACATAGATTCCGTTTGGTTTGTACAGCGCCAAACAAATCGGCGCCATCTATGCGCGAGATGCCCAACCCATCAATGACAGGTGTCCAATGACGTATGACAGATGACGTTTTAACGCCATCTATGCGTGAGATGCCCAATGACGCATGACAGGTGTCCAATGACACACAGATTCCGTTTGGTTTGACAGCGCCATCTAGCGGCGGAATCCCCAACTCATGAATACAGATTCCGTCCAACAACCTGTCAATGGCGCGCGACGCCAGCGCCTCTGGTGGCGGATTTTGGAAGTTTTGAGACCGAATCCCCATAAGACATCTACTAATGTCATCTTGCAGACTAGGTAGTGTTTAGAGTGCAAACGTTCATTCCATGTTTGCTCACTAGGATCGTTGTGAGCGTCCATCTATGGAGGAATGACTCAACTACACGCATTGTTGGTTGCATAGGTTTTATGAAGCCCAGTATACTATAGTTTTCATCTCTTAGAAGAAGATTGGTTGGATAGCAAGATCGCATCTCGATTATGTGTCGTGGTCTGCATGTGTATAAAGCCAGTGATATTCGCTGTGTGAGAAAATCATTACTGAATATGCTGCTAATCAAGTATATCTATTAGCTGTGCCCTACGGGTTATTTATATGTTGTTCTTTCTGAAGACAGGTTATGTTCAAAGTTATAAATTAGGAAAAACTTTGTGGAGAATCACGGGAAATCACCATCGCGCCGGCGTTGTGTAACACTTCCTTTCCGCAAAAAGCCCAGAAAAGATGGAATGCAATGAAGATTCCAACTTTTCTGCACAATCACAGAAAGGGGGTTATCATTAGCTTCCGGTAGCTCAGTCGGTGGCATGAAGACATCTACAGGCGTGTAGCTGTGTGTCGACCATGGCATGGCTAGAGGATAGAAGAACAAACAGAACACAAAAATTCAACAGATTTTATTTAACAAAAAAAGCATTTTCATTACATTACAATTTTAAAGAACTAAAGAACAAAATAAGTTTTAAATTTTTGGCGCTGCTATAAAACTATCAACTTATCTTTCGCTGGTCCATTTTGACTTTACGAGGATGGCCAGGTGCTTGAAGTGGAGGTCCCAGTTATGAGGGGTGACCTCACATATAGTGGCTTCAAAACCAGTTGTAGGCGAAGTTGAACTTAAAGGCGATGGCGCTGCCAAGGCACATGCATGGGTGAAGTAATAGGCCAAGCAATGCAAAGTCAAAGACAAAGGCAAAAGCAAAGTCAAAGACAAAGGCAAAGGGAAAGGGAAAGTGAAAGGGGGTGGCCCCAATCATTTTGTCCTATACGGACACACATTCTACAAAATTCTAGCACATGGTGCTATATGACCTTGTGCTACAGAGAAGAAAATTCTTAGCTCTTGTTCGATCGGCGGCTCAAGTGAAAAGGAAGCGCGAGGAAGATCAAGCGCTCCAAGCGGAAAATTTTCCAAGTAAAAAAGCTAGAGATGGGATTAATGAAATGATAATCGAGAAGTGATTTAATAAATACGATCGGACGGTGAAACCGTTACAGTTGTGTCTAATTACTGTTAGCATGTATATGACTTTCTTATATTTCTAATCTCTCTCATTTTTGAAATACAACAAATGTGCATATGTAATTTCCAGAATGAATTAAGAAAAGTGGATGCGCAACTAATTTCTAGCTTTGAATCTCAAGTAAGTGCATTTGAGACAAGAATCCTATGGAATATACAAATTATAGCTTAGATCTCCAGTAACTCCATCTCTGAAGCAGATTTTGCATCACATCAGAGCCAAACATTGATAATTGAAGCCTCATGACGTTTAGGCAACATGTATACCTACAAAACGAGTTCACAACGTGTCCATCAGCTAGTTAACATCTTACACAATGTCGCAAAAAACCAATGCAATGTCAAAAAAAATCGACAGAATGTCACTTTTCATTATACGTAATACCCGTGCCGTTATGAACTGATGGCAACGTTGAGTGGGAGGCGCAGGATCATCCCTCCTGAAGCCACTTTCATACTAATGAACAAAGTTATTTCATGAACTTTTGTCCACAGCATATCCTTATATTTTATTCATATCCAGTGTATACTTTGTATATGTGGAAAAATGTAATACAGAACAATAAATATCAATAAAACTGTAACAATACATATCAATAGAATAGCCCAAACAATTATTCCTTGAATTGCATACGAGCTCCGGTGCTACCACGTATTACATAATCCCCCATGTTTGCCTAGCCTAATCAAACCACATATGTGTTTAAAAATCGTCTTCATTGTTCGAGCATGCAAACCGAACAACAGGATTAGTTTAAAATGTTACATTAACCGGTATTACAGGTTTCGGTAACACTCTGTATTTCAGTCAACAATAAATTGATCGAATAGAGTGTGGCATTCGAAGATATTATCTTTCACAAAAGCGAGTATCCCGACCGGAACCTAAATTGAGCGTATCCGAAAACACCATAAATTATTTTTCGGAACGCAGGTGCAAGAACTGTAATAAAGTATAGCCTGGAGTTCAGTTTTGTTCCATTTTCATCCCGGCGAAGTTTTGTCGAAAACAAAACGTAAAATGAACCCTTCAATGAAATGAAAAACGAAATATGGCAAAGATTTTAAAACTTGCAACAATTTCCTCTGTTCGGGGTTCATTTCATGAAGGCTGGAAATATTGAAGTTTTTCAGGTTGCGGGAAAGTTACATGAAGATGCCTCGGTAACTCGGTGGCTAACGCGTCGAGCTAGTAACCCGGTGTTTGCGGATTCGAATCTCCGCCTCGGGTTTCTGATTCCGAGTCATGGATGTTGTATTGTGAGTTGTCTATATCCGGCACACGAGTGCAATATTAATGATAGATATATCATTAATATTGTATAAGCTGTAGCGAAATAAAACAAACCAATATTTTATCTGTTGAAGGAGACATTGAAATGTCAGGAATCGTAATGAATAGCCCCATGGCAAAATTGGCAGTACTGACAATTTATAGGCCCCCAAGTGGAAACGTACATGTATTTTTAAAAAAATTTACGGAAATCCTAATCATTACGAGTAACTTGTCTGAAAAGACTAAGCTCTGTGGTGACTTCAACATTGACCTCTTGAAAAATGGAGTAGATATCAAGCTTCTGATTGACACATCAGACTCATTTGACCTACGTATTACAACTAGAGAACCAACAAGCGTATTTACAAACAAAAACTCTCATGTTAGCTATCGACTATATGATAACAAACTATCCGGATAATCAAACAAATTGTGAAGTATTTGATCCTATTCTAGCTGACCATTACGCTCACTTACTTGAAATATCATATAATCACGGCGAGCAAGAAAACAGCAAAAATCTTATTACGTACACCATATGGCTTCTTAGTGAAAATGTAATTAATCATTACAAACATCTACGAGTAGTCTCACAAACAGAATGGTATCTAACGTATCATATGGATGTCAATGGAGGTTTCGAATTTCTCATTAATTCTCTCATTTGGTGTTACGATATGAGTTGTCCACTACAGACTATAAGGATCACAACAATAAAGCAAAAAAGTACAAACATGAATGGATCAATGAAGCTGTTTTGCGTCGGGGTAAGTATCTTAAAGATCTTTATTGGCTAAAGACAATATATCCTTCCAAACAAGCCCAACAGATATATTCTATAGAAAAACAGAAATATAGGCAGAACATAGAAAACACAAAATTACAAATTACAAAATTTATCCTTGCCGTGTACACATTCAGCCACCAGTATAAATTCCATATTCATATCTCCGGTAACTCCTCAAGAAATCAAGACATTAATGAGCAATAGCAGCAATAAACATTCGTCTGGTTTTAATGATCTGTCGTTAGACATATTGGGAAAAGTAAAGAGCCTAATCGTTGATCAACTTGATTTCTTATTTAATAAGTCCATAGAACTCGGATGTTTTCCAGATGTAATGGAACTGGCTATAGTGGTACCTGTGTTGAAGAAAGGAGAGGTGAGAGGACCCTGTAAACTACCGCCAGATCTCTCTAATCAGTAGTATAGCAAAATTATTGAAAAAGCATTATGTACAATCAAATAAGCTGTTTCGTTAAAAAAGAAGGCTTATTAACTGAATCTCAACATGGATTTCGATCTACAAAATCTATAGAAACCGCAACTTGCCACTATTTGGAGTACTTTTAAATAAAGGTGAATATGTAGCATCACTACACTTTGATTTGTCAAAAACATTCGATACCATCCCGAAAGACTACCTGCAAGAGAAATTAGAGACACTAGGTATTCGTGGAACACCCCTGAAATGGATTATATCCTACATGAGTGCACGTAAATTCCAAGTTCGAATACCACGGATATTGGTTTAGGGGTTACCACAGGGTCCTGTCCTAGGACCGCTAAACTTTCTTCTATACGTAAATAATCTGCCGCTTTACATAACACGCGGAAGGGTAACTATGTTCGCTGATGATACGACGATAACAGTTCACGGACAGAATCCTCAAGAGCTTCAACATAAAGTGGCCCATGTTGTTGATGAATTTAGTGGCTGGTGTCAACGTAACAGGCTGATACTAAATGAAGGCAAAACCGTCATAATGAACTACTCCATTCAAAAACATCTACCTAACGACTTTCCTATAATTTCCTGGTACTGCGCAAAGCTCTTGGGTACTTACTTTGACTCAAAGCTATCTTTTTCTGACCATATTGAAACTGTGTGCCTTATTACAACTAAAAGACACCTTAGAAGAGAAAGGATTAATGACGATATATTATGCATTAGCATACTCACACATAAGCTATAATATCATGGCATGGGGCAACAGTGTTGACAATGACAGAGTATTTGTAGGACAAAAACGACTAATACGCCTAATTTTCAATATTCCGCCTGGAAATACATGTAGAAAAACATATAAATCTAAGAAAATTTTAACTGTACCTTGTGTTTACCTTTATGTCTTTTATACTTTTGGGAAAACATGTACCAGTTCGAGAGTCTAGGGCAGCACTACACACATAATACCAGAAATAGTGCGACATTAACTGTCCTCAAACACAACACCAGTCGCTTCAAGCGCTCACCTCATTACAACTGTGAAATATTTTATAATAAGCTGCCTCAGCATCTTAAAAATATAAGACCATACAAAAATTTTAAATATGAAGCGAGATCGTTTTTATCAGGTGAAGGGTTTTACGATTGGTGAATTTTTAGAACACAAGTACCAATAATATAATTAAATATCAATTACCTAATATTTGTGCATGTCTCAGCATGTTAAAGCTACTTTCTATCAATAAGGTTTTTGCGGTGATGTTTTATTAGTTTATTTATTTGCTTATTTAGTTTTTTTTCTTTGTAATGACCTGCCACATATACTTATGTATCAACATGGCCAATAAATACTACTACTACTACCACTACTACGACTACTAATATATGGATAATACTCTTAAACTTGCACCCCACGTTAAGCATCTCTTACAAAAAGCCTATGCTAAATTAGGGACTTTTTATCTTCACAGAAATACTGTCTCTGTCGAAGTCAGACTGAATCTGTGCGATTCGTTGATACTGCCTTCCTTGTTATATGCTGATATTGTACGCTGGCCTATTCTCACTCCTGGAGGCAAACTTTCTATCAAAAAAACGCATCACTCATGTATTAACATTAAGTTCATGATGAGATTGAGAAACAATGCATATATGATATATAAAAAAGGGGTAAGGGATGCTCTTTCTGCGGATTTGATCAATGTCAAATGGGTTTATTATAAACAACTCAGAAACTTTGTAACAGCTTCCATAAGAAAAGAAAAAAGAGCCTATATAGAACTGCAGCTTAAAGAAAGTAGAAGTTCCCGTGATTGGTGGCGAACCATCAAACAACTAGGTGTACATAATCCTGTTAAAGATACTTTAGAGTGCACATTGCAACCTGATAACCAACCAGATAATTGTGTGGATATCAGTATTATTCATCATTACAATAGTAATGTTTTGCCATCTATAGACAACTTGTTTCAGTTAAAACCGGTCACGGAGGATAAAATATTACAGATTTTCAATAAAATAAAATCTCGGGTGGTTGGACTAGATGGTTTGAATATAAATATGTTAGCTCTAGTGTTTCCTTTTTGTTCTAGAGCGAATACTCATATTATTAACTATTCGCTTGAAAAAGGGTTAGTTCCTAAAATTTGGAAAGCCGCAAGCGTTAGCCCTCTTGCTAAAATTGATGCTCCGGAAGGACCTGATTATTATAGACCAATTAGTATCCTTCCAGTGTTATCAAAACTATTAGAAAAAATTGTATATGAGCAATTGATGCAGCACGTCACTACCTTTAAGATAATTCCATCTACGCAGTCGGGGTTTCGAAAAAACCACAGCACCGTAACAACTCTGCTCGATGTCTGTAACGAGTTCATAGGGGCAATAGATAACTCTAAAGTTACTACTGCTGTCATGATAGATCTAAGTAAGGCCTTTGATTGCCTCAACCATGAACTACTTTTTGCAAAATTTCATTATCCTGGCTTCTCCGATAGTTCGAGTAATTGGTCTCGCAGTTATTTTCATGAACGCATTCAGCAGGTCAAAATCGGTGACATCTTATCACAGGAGGGTACTATCTCCAAAGGTATACCACAGGGGTCTACTCTTGGACCTATTCTGTTTTCTCTTTATGTAGCGGACTTAGATCAAGTCACTAAATACTGCAAATTACATACCTACGCCGATGATACACAGATTTATCTATCTTACAACCCTGCTATGTACACTGAAGCGAATGAGATGCTGTCTGAGGATTTAAATATGTGTGTGGTATAACAAACATGGCTTATGTATTAACCCTAGAAAGTCGGCTATCATAACTATTAAATCTAAATTCAGCAAATTCAATAGTGAATTAATAAAGCTGTGCATTGGAGGTGATGAACTTTGCCACAGGACATCGGTTCGCAACTTGGGCATCACATTGGATGAGAACCTGTGCTTCCATGATCATGTCACCAAAGCTGTTCAGGGTTCCTATGCTAAGTTGAAGTCAATTTATAGCTATAAAAGTAAACTTGAATACGGGGACCTTGTCTATGGTCCATGCCTAATACAGAGCGAGGCATACAGACTTCAAAAAGTACAAAACAGCTGCATAAGATTCAGTTTAGTTATTCAAAGGCGGGAGAGGGTATCTGATCATATTAAAAATATTCAATGGCTTACTATGCGACAAAGGTGGATACTGCATCTATTATCATTGGTCCACAGTATTCTGATAAATAAAATGCCTCTTTATTTGAAGAACAAGCTTACCATGAAATGTGATCATCACTCAGCGCACCTGCGTTTTGTAGGATATACTGTTGACTTGCCTCGGCACCGAACAACCCAATTCAAGAGCTTTTCATATGTGGCGCCCGATTTCTACAATAACGTACCTCAAGCTTTGAAAACTCTATCTGTGTCCAGCTTCAAAAGAAAAGTTAGGCTCTTTGTCTTTGATGACATGTAGCATGTACCTTTATGTAATTTTATTTTTATATTTGTTTATTTGTGCATGTTTTCTCACTTGTCACTTTTCATTTGTTTGTGATTTGTTTACGAATTTGTTACTGTTTACTTTTAATTTTTATATCTTCCGCCATATACCTAATATTTTCTTTTTTCAAAGTTACTTCTAAGCATGGTTTTTGATTCTGCTACGTACTCTGTTGATGCACGTTTCTCTTTTGGTCTTTTGGTCATTATACCATGCTTAGGCTACGATTCTGTAGTG